AGCAGGATAACGACCCGAAGCATACAATCCTCCTTGCCAAAGCCTTTTTACAGGAGAACATGCCTGAAGTTATGGCCTGGCCATCCAACAGCCCTGACTTGAATCCTATCGAAAATCTCTGGGGAATTGCTAGGGGAATATAGAAAGGCGCATGCCAAAAATCAGGATGAATTGGGGCGATTTATGATGGAGGAATGGGGAAATATTCCTGAATCCACTCTAATAAATTTAGTAGGATCAATGAAACGGTGTTGTGAGTTTATGATTGAAAAAAATGGTGAATGAGTAGTGCCTTACTGAAAATATATTAATAAATCAGCTGGTTTCCAGTTTCCAATGATAAAAACTTCAAGTGATTTTGTTCACTAGTCGTCGTGTAATGGGCAATTTTATAATTCCGGTTTTTTTTTGTTCCAATGATGAATTAATTTATTACAAAATATATTTTTTGTTATATATATAATTTTTATTTATTTATTAATTTGTTATTACATAAAAAAATAAATTATTAATAATTTTACAAAATTATAATTTTATAAATTTATTTCCTTAAAATTCGAGAGGTGCTTCTTTTGTTAAGAGGTAGTTGTAGCGCTATTTGGTGTATGTTTATCCGCATTTATATTTCTTTGGCATCACGTACACTCTCGTTCCATAAATGTAATAAAGTTTTTTGTTGAGCTTCTTGCTTAAAAGTCGTCATTTCACGAGTTGTTTTTTCAAAAAATATAAATAGCAGCGAATGCGGAAAATCATCAAAACTTACATCAATATATAGACGTATTTTTATGACGTTCAAAATTTCCGGTTTTTTTTTTGTTCACACTGTATGTAAAAAAATCAAGGAACATGTCCCGTTTAATCAAATGTAACAAAGACCCAAATCAATGGCGCTTCTTTTTTGAGTTTTTGTTTCTTGCCTTCTTACAAGAGGATATGTATCGTGTTCTTTTGGTGAATCTGGAAGAAAATGCGCAAATATACGTACATGCCAAATTTGAGCACCCATCTTCTGATATATCCATGGCATTCGTCCAGACTTCTTTGATATTCTTTCGAAACGGTACTCAAAGAAACTATA